CTGCCCGGCCGCATCCCGCCTCAGCACATCGCGGCGCTTCCATGTTTTGGAGGCTAAATTTTTTCATTAGCCGAAAGCAGAAGATTAATCCTTTTATTTTTATTCATGATCATGACAACCCCGGTCGGATTTGGCAGAGGATTCCCCCTTCAATGTTTATTGCCCCAGGAGCTCAGGAGCAGAACAATCCTGACGGAACGCGATAGATAAACACGGTCTATCGTCGTTCAAGAAACACATCGAGGGCGTCTGCGGAGGGGCGGGAGGGCCGCTGTAACAAAACCACACGCACTTGGGGCAAAAAATGATTTTTATATTCTCTTTCCAGTTGACACGCGGTATTTTAAGGGGCTCTTATACAAACACTGAGTTCTTTCAAGTTACCGACGGACCATCCCAAATCTCCCACGGCACCGTCCAGCCCCGGCCGGTGCCATCAGCCCCGCGGGACCGGGCAGCGCTGGGGCGATGCCCGAGCATGTGGCTCCATTTGTTTGGTTTGTTGGCTGTTTGTTCGTGGGTTGTTGGTTTTTTTCCCCCGGGAATGCCCAATTTTCCCTTGCGCGCCCCTCGCCCAGCGCCGGGCTGAGCGGCCCCTTCTCCGCCCCCGGGGGAAGGCGCGGCACCGAGCGCTTCCCTCTCTTTTGACTTCGCTTTGATTATGTTTTAAATAATTTTTAAATAATTGTTGATGAACGTGCGGGCAGAGCCGGGCCGGGTGCGGAGCCAGGGCGGCCGCGGAGGGAAGGGAAGGGGAGACCCACGGGGGCGGCTCCGCGCCGGCTCCGGTGCCCCGGGAATTCTGCCCCGACGGCTCCGTCCCGCCCCGAGAGGCCGAAGGGCGGCTGCGGTCCCGGGGCAAGGCCGGGGGTGCCTTCGCCCCCATCCCGCTCCGCCAAGGCAGCATCTCCCGGGGAGCCGCGAGGGCGCGGGGGGACCCGCATCAAGGCGGGGATCACTTTTTCGATGTTTCTGTTTGTTGATTTGGTTTGCTTTTCCCACGTTAGGCGATGCTGCAACAGCCACACAATGTCCGACTCACCTTGGACTAAACCTCGAAGAAGTATATTTCAGCAACGGAGTGTTCTCTGTAAATCGCAGGTTCTAAAAAAAATATCTCCCCCCTTCTTTCTTTATTACATCCACAAGATTATAAATTATTTTGTTCTTCTGCATTAGCGACTTTATAGCTGTCATTAAAAAAAAACTCCTTCATTGCCACCAAGTTTGGAAATGCTTTCCCTTACGCAATCAGTCTTAATTAATCAGGACATAAACAGGCAAACAGGCCTACACAAAATAAAAAATGTTCCTAAAGTACACATCAGATAATTTTTAAGCTCCTAAAATGGCTGCAATAGAACGGGGGTTTTCAAATGACAACAAATGCGTTCTACCTGTAAATTTAGAAAAGGCAAAATCATGAACAGGATGCCATAATTACAAGGTATAAAATACTTATCAGTGATAGTAACTCATGCTAAAAGAGACTGTAACAGTAGATTAAATAAAGCATAGAGGCAAATAAAATTATAGAAACTACATTTTTAGGTGAATGAAAACATACTTATGTTCACAATTTTACAAAATGATAATGATTCTTTAAAATCACCCGAGTAGCCACTACCATTTTAGAAGAAAACTGCATAAAAAGGTAACAAAGAGAAAATAAAGTCACAGGTAAAAGACTAAGATTGTAACCAAAACTTTTCGAAGACACTATCTTAGATCCTCAGAGTACACATGTATCTGACTTAAAAAGACTGCAGAATGCCCACAAGAAGCAGCTAGGTCATGTGAACCAGCACATTCAAGGATGTAATAGGAAGACAGACTCAAAGAAGGAAACGAAAATCAGAAAATCCATGGAAATTTAACTTTTGGAATACACAAATCCTGAATTAAACAACTGACAGACTGCTAGGAACAACTACCAAAGATGTAACGGATTATTGAAAATATCAGAAACAGGAAACCTGCCAGAAGATATTTTTATGGTGTAAAAGACTCCTTTTGTTAAAAATAGAAACAACTAAGCTAGTCATTTGTAGTAGTGTTTACTACAGTGGAAACATATTTTCTTGAGTAAAAAAAAAAAAAAGGTAACATTATCTGAGATTTGATGAGATTTGATAGCTGGAAGCAGAAAGCAGCAATTTTCACAGTGAGAGGATTCCAGCCATGTCCTCAAAAATCTGTGAGGGAACCTGTGTTATTCAAGGTACTCAGGCACCACTTCCTGGAGAAAGGGATCAGTGGTGAGCTTTTGCTGTTAATAAATAACACAAACCCATCCAAGTTGAGTGGATGGAAAGGGAACAGTGATGAACTGTGGAATCCTGGGGAACACTGTGACAACATGGAGCTGGAAAACAGCAAAGGAAACTCTGGGGTACTAAGTACAAAATAACAATTCTGTTAACCAGTAGTTTTGTAATCACAGGAACTAATGAAGCCTCCTCCTATAACCAGCAGCTGAGTGACATTTTAATTGAATTATATTAAGGCTGCAATCTTTATTATACAAAAGAACCCACAGAGGAAAGCCCTGGCTAAGGAGTGGATTCTCTGCTATCTAATGAGATATTAAAACCCCTTGAAACTTTTAGGGTGCTTGGGTCTGGAGTGACTCCCAAGAGTTGGATCTGGAGTGAGCCTTGCCTTCACTGCACACACTCAAGGGACCTTCCATCTGCCTTCTCAGGCTTTCCTGAATTCTGGGCTGCTGACTTTGTCAGATTTAAAGAAATTTCAGGCAGCCAAACCTTTATAGCATTTAATTTGTTTGAAATATAATCAAAATTAAAACCAAAATGATGTAAAATTCAAAAGTAGTAACAAGATCTTAAAAAAAGTATTTCAAGTAGCCTATCAATTTCATCCTACAAAAATCAGCAATACTGTCAGGGGGAGCAGCCTTGCATTCCTCTTCCTCTCATCTTCACTGACCCACCAGTGAGCTTCATCAGCCTCAAAACTGCTCCAGGAAACAAATGGTCACTTTTAAATTAGTTTGCCTGGTTCCAGTGCAAGGTGTGGGCAGAGATAGCTCTGCTGGCAGAAGTATACATCTATATCAGACTAAATTGAGTATAAAACTGCCTGGATCCTGACACGTTTAGTGCTAAACTTGGTATTTCTCCACCTTTGTCATCTGTGGAGGAAATAGTTTCGGGTAGAGAATGTCTCATGCTGTGTACAGTAATTTCTGCTTTCTTTCATGACCCATCCAGAAAAAAAATATAATTAAGTCTACTGCAGTTGCCTTCTCTTTTACACAAACAGAATAATAAAACTAAACTCAGATGCAGAATCAACATCCAGTTTCCACTGTCAGCTCTTTTGTTCAAAAAGATCAATGGCAGCAATGAACATCCACTGTCAAGGGCTGGGTTGGCTCACCCCAGGCAAGCACACAGCTGCCAGCCTAAAGACTGATTTTCACCTTCCCTCTCAAGGACCTTAGAGGAATTCTGTATTTTGGCAGTCAAACAGCTCTGCCAGTGGGCAGCACACACATTCAAACTACCTGTGCTATGGTGGTGTTGAAGCAGACTAGGGAATATCCAGCAAAGGAATTTGTCTCTCCTCAGGCCCTCACAATACTGGAAAAACCAAAGTGTGAATTAAAATCAGTGAAAACTCTCTGAAGGAGGCCACCATCACTCTTTCCAAATAAAAATGGATCCTCTGCTTTGTCAAATGGTTGAAGGTCTTGGTGCCTCCCTTGGTGCCCCCCCGAGAGCCTCAGGAGCAGGGCAGCAGAGGGGAAGCCTTTGCCCCAGGGAGGAATGGCACACAGAAGACATCTCCATCCTTAGCATTTCTGACTGACTGCTCCAAGCAGGTTCTGGTCCTGCCTGGTAGTGACTCTTCTTGTGTGGAGACACCCACTTATGTGCTTTTGTGCTTGCCGTGCAAGTTATTTTAAGGCACTGAAATCTTCTCATGCATCATTTAGGGAGCCTGGACATGAGGCCTGGATAATGAAGCACTTCAGTCCTGTGACTTTGGGATACTGTGATTCAACTTTTCCCCACATACAGAGGAGTGAAATCATATAACTGTTTAGTAGAAATATTGCTGCAATTGAAAATTTATTTTAAGTTTCTAATGTCACTGAGTAGGTACAGTTTATGAAAGCCAAAGTCCTCTTCTGCTACATAAAAAAGAATAGACAAACCCTCCAACACAGCTCCAATAGAAACATCCTCAGCACTCCCACTGAGCTGAAGGGTGCACATGTAGAGAGTACAGAGCAAACACCGTGTCCTGCATGGGCTCTATAATGATTTCAAACACCACTGTCAACAGGCAGGAAGTTTCTCCCAAAGCCAGAGGCTGCCCCACCTTCACCCCACGAGCAGCGGAAGCTGACACATCACATGGGATTCCTTTCAGCAACAGCAATTCCCTAAGACTTAAAACTAATGCATTAATCACCTTAATGGTAATCCATTAATGTGAAGAACCTGAAGATAAAAAGGCAGAATCAGGGATGTGCTCTGTAGCAATGGTGTTACAGTTCTAGGGTAATACTGAATTACAAAATTTGAATGACTAGAGGATTATCCATGCCAGCAGAGCGTGTGAAGTGAATACCAGGAGAGCAGAAAATGATGGCATAGAATATTAATATTTCTACACAGGGATTGGTTTATATAGATGGTGTGACTCAGAAAGGTGACTTGACATGGTCGCTTCTTGAAATCAGGCCCAAAGTATGTAAGGACCAAAATCATGAATGTTTTATTTAAAGAGTGATACACTTGTTTACCTCGTGGCAGAATGATCCCTGTATACTGATCTCAAAATCTTTGTATCAGAGGGAAGTAATGCCACCACTTTGAACACTTCCAGTTAATTATCACTAGAACATTTTGATAATGACAGTGTATTTTG